CCTCCCAACACCATCAATTAGTGCTTGCTGACCTTCATATAAATGGAATAATTCAGTATGTTTCTTGGTGTTTAGCTCTTTTTGTTCAATATTATGGTTGGAGATTCATCTGTATTGCAGTACATAGCTGTGGTTTGTTTTCACTCCTGTAAAAATTCCCTTATAAGAATATATTATTCTTATATATTTATATATAAATATATGTAAAATATAAAATATAAAAATATATATAAAATATAAAAAATATACTTATTTGTCCATTCTGTTGATGAGCTTTTTGTGCTTTTGGTTTTGTACCATTAGCAATTGCTGCTATAAACATTCTTGTACATGACTTGTGTTGTACTTGGGCCCACATTTCTGTCAAGTGAATTTTTTAAAAAATCCAGTCACTCTATGTCTTTTGATTAGAGAATTTAGTCCCTTAACATTTAAAGTAATTATCTATAGGTAGGTACTTACTGCCATTTTGTTAATTGTTTTCTGGCTGTTTTGTTGTTTCTCTGTTTCTTCTTTTCTTTCTCTCTTTGTGGTTTGATGATTTTTTTCCTAAACATAGTGGTATGTTTAGATTCCTTTCTCTCTTTTTTTTTATATACTTCAGGTTTTTGCTTTGTGGTTACCATGAGGCTTACATATAACAACCTATATTTATCACAATTTAAATTGAAAATAATTTGCACACATTCTAAAGCTGTACATTTTTAGTCCCTACCACATCTTATTTTTTTTAAACTCTTTTAAAACTTAATTTTCTTAATTTCATTCTATTAAGATGATCATGAATCTTTTTTTTTACATTTTATATTTTTGATGTCACATTTTACGTCTTTTTATCTTGCGTATTCTTTAATTATTGTAGTTATAGTTATTCTTACTACTTTCATTTTTTTAAGAGATTTTATTTATTTACTAGAGAGAGATAGCGAGAAAGAGCATGAACGGGAGGTAGGAGAGGAAAAGGCAGGCTCCCCGCTGAGCAGGGTCCCTGATGCGGGGCTTGATCCCAGGACCCTGGGATCATGATTTGAGCCAAAGGCAGATGCTTAACCAACTGAGCCACACAGGCGCCGCACTACTTTTGTCTTCTAACCTTCATACCAGCTATAAGTGATTAACTACCATTACTATATATTTACTTTTACCAGTGAGTTTTATACTTATATTTTCTTGTTACTAATGAGCACCCTTTCTTTTAAGCTTAAAGAAGTCTCTGTAACATTTCATGTAAGGGTGGTTTAGTGGTGATGAATGCCTTTAGCTTTTGCTGTCTGGAAAACTCTTTGTCTTTTCTTCAATTCTGAATGATAATTTTGCTGGGTAGAGTAATCTTGCTCGGAAGTTTTTTCTTTCAGTTTTTTGAATATATTGTGTCACCCCCTTTTGACCTGCAAAGTTTCTGCTGCAAAATCTGCTGATAGTCTTGTGGAGGTTCCCTTGTACATAACAAGTTGTTTTTCTCTTGCTGCTTTGAAGATACTCTAGTCTCTAACTTTTGACATTTTAATTATAATGTGTCTCGGTGTGGGTCTCTTTGGGTTTGTCTTATTTGGAGCTTTCTAGGCTCTGGATCTGGATGTGTTTCCTTTCCCAGTTTAGGGAAGTTTTCAGCCACTATTCCTTCAAATAATTTTCTGCCCCATACTCTCTCTCTTCTCCTTCTGGGAGCCCTACCATATGACTGTTATCCCATTGATGTTGTCCTTGAAGTCCCTTAAGCTGTCTTCATTTTTTTTTTCATTCTTTTTTCTTTTTGCTGCTCTGACTGGGAGGGTCCCACTGCCCTGCGCTTGAGTTCATTGATCCTTCTGCTTCATCTAGTCTACTACTGAACCCAGCCAATGTATTTTTAAGTTCAGTTATTGTATTCTTCAGCCTGTGACTTTTATTTGGTACTTTCTTATATTTTCTCTCTCTTTGTGGAAGTTCTCACTGTGTTCATCCATGCTTCTCTCAAGTTTGGTGAGCATCTTTGTGAACATTACTTTGACTTCCTCATCAGGTAAACCACTTATCTCTATTTCATTAAGGTTATTTCCTGAGGTTTTATCTTGTTCTTTTGTTTGGAATATATTCCTCTGTTTCCTCATTTTGCTTGATTCTCTTCATATGTTTCTGTGTATTAGATGAAACCGCCATCTGTCTCAGTTCTAAAGGAGTGGCCTTCTGTGGGAGATGAATGTTATTGTTCAAACTTGCCCTAGCTCTTTGTTGTCTCTAGAACCTTTGTGATTATCCAAGCAGCCTATTTTAATAGCTCCAAGTTGTTGATGGTGTGCCAAGGCCTGTCAGTGTCCCAGTGGGTGAAATCTCAGACAGCATCTAGATTCAGGCTGATTGGAAGCCAGACATTCAGGCAACAGCTTTTGAAGTATACAAATATGTACAGTCCTGTGGGGCCACAAGCATAAGCCCTGTTGGCCACCAGAAAAGGTGATCTGGAGGTCCCCTGGCCTAGGGTAGTAGACTCCCAGGAACTGTCTCTGTTACAGCTCCATGGGACCCAGTAATGCAAGCCCCCTGGTCACCCCAAGGGGGTGTCCTAGGGTGGTAGCCATAAAAACCAGGACACTAGATGGAAGAACTAGGGCACCAGACCTGTGTAAGAGCTCCCCTCTGCAAGACACTGGCACTCTGGAGCATGGCAGGGGGAGAGTGTGAAGATAGAACCTACCTTCCAAGGTCTCTAGGAGGGTTTACAGTCAACCCTTAGCTGTGTTTATTTAGAAGCCTGCTCCTCTGCCTGCAGCATTGAGGATAGCTTATAGGCCTCTTTCTCCAAAAGACTGAACTGGCTCTGTTCCTTCTTACTCTGCCCTGGAGTGTGGGGCGGGGGGGGTAGTTGTTTGAGAACTCTTTTTTCCATTGGTTACAGGCCTAGGGGACCCATGAGCCTAAAGCCCAATTGACCACTAGACCCAGGTGATGTAGAGGAGGTCCCTGGCAGCAGTTTTGAACATTGGGATGCCAGAAAGGTTGAAGCTCCTTCCTGGGAGATCCCAGTGAGCTGCAGTGAGGCACAGGGAGAGTGCAAGGATGGAGTACCTTGGCCTCTCTCCCTGAGAGCACCTCCATAGCCTCTAGATGTGTGCCATATTGAAGCCTGCCCCTTTCTCAGAGTGATGGAAGTATGTTTCAGCCTGCTGTCTGTGCGGTGACCAGGGGGCGGTATTCTGCCGACAACAGTCTCTTTGATCGTCACAGTCCTGTGGGACCCAAGAACAGGCTCCCTGGCTTCCAGAGCCAGACTTTTGAGGGGTGTTCCTAGGCTGCAGCTGCAAAAACCAGGGCACCAGATGTGTGTGAAAGCTCCTCTCTGAGAGATACTATTATTGTGGAGTGTGGCAGAGGGGTAGCCTAAAAACGACTCTGTTCTGGAGGATATGTCAGGAGGCCTGGCCCCTCAGGCCGATGCTTCAAGATTAGCAAATGGATCTCTGACATAAAGTCTGGGCACTGTTCAAACAGCTGCTTCTGCACTGGCCCTGGGGTGGTGAGTGGATGCAAGACCCTTAGGCATTTCTCAGGTTGCTAGAGTGCTCTGGGTCTTGTGGTCACCTGCCCTGTTGCTTTTCAAAGCCAGATGTTTTGAAGGTTTGTTCCGCAGGTGCAGCTCTTAACAATTGGGGTGCCTGATGTGGGTTAGAACCTTTTGGTCCTCAGGGAGAAGGTCTGGGTTTGTGGAGTTCCCTCCCAATTGTGGGTCACTGCACTGGGGGTGGAGATTATGGTGAAACCAAGACTTAGCCTCTCCTACCCACCGTGATGTGGCTCTGATTTGTGGATGCAGGGCAGCTGCTCAGCTAATTTTCAGAGGAACTTGTGCCATAGGTAGCTGTAGAGTTGGCATGTCCATGGAGGAGTTGGGTCAGAATCTGGGTTTTCATGGCTGTCCTGGGGCTTTGTAGGAGAATGTCCTCTTTGTAGGAAATTGTAACTAACCGTTCTGGCGCGTGGGGTTGGCAGCTTACTCTTCAGCTTTTTTGCTGTAACTTTTCTGTGAGTTTTTTTTTTTTTTTGAAACTTCAAGTGTTCATACCCCCCTTTTTTTAATTAAAGATTTTATTTATTTGAGAGAGAGAAAGCACACATACAGGGGGAGAGGCAGAGGGAGAGGTAGAAGCTGACTCCCCACTGAGCAGGGAGCCTGATGTGGGGCTTGTTCCCAGGACCCCAAGATCATGACCTGAGCTGAAGTCAGACTCCCAACTGACTGAGCCACCCAGGTGCCCGTTCATAACCTTTGATACAGTGATTTCATTTCTAGCAATCTGTCCTAAGGAAATAATCAGAAACCTAAGCTAAGATTTATGTATAAAGCTTACACACTTTTTGTAATATAAACTCTGTAAATAACCTAGTATCTATCAGGAAGATGGCCAACTTAACTTAGGTATAGTTGCTATTTTGCAGCTATTAAAAATACTGCTTTGGAACAATTTTTATTGCTTCAGGAAAATTCTTGTGGTATGTTACATGAGAAAGTAAGATGGGGGCACCTGGGTGGCTCAGTCGTTAAGCATCTGCGTTCGGCTCAGGTCATGATCCCAGGGTCCTGGGATCGAGCCCCGCATCAGGCTCCCTGCTCGGCGGAAAGCCTGCTTCTCCCTCTCCCACTCCCCCTGCTTGTGTTCCCTATTTCGCTGTGTCTCTCTCTGTCAAATAAATCTTTAAAAAAAAAAAAAAGAAAAAGAAAGTAAGATGCATCATGCTGGGTAGTCTCTCATTTAGTGTCTCTTGAGTTATCTCTCCGATGACTTCCAAGGAAGCACCTAAACATCAATGTGACTGTCTGCTGGGATTACTGTGGGTGGTTTTCTTCTTTATGTACATGCTATTTTTCAGATTTTCCAGAATTAGCATATATAATTTTTATAATCAGAAGAAAAGGTTTAAAAAAACCACATAACCCCACTGTCTCCCAGGAATCTTTCAGAGGCTTCAAAGGAGTTAGGACACTTGTGGTCCTCTAAGCACATGGCAGTCCTAAGATTTATCTGTTATTCTCATTTGCTCCATTTACTTTTTTTTTTTTTTAAGTGAGAGATTCTGTATTTTTTTTCTGACTTCAGAATGGATTGCTTGCATTTTTCTGAAAGCCTCAAAGAGTCAGAAAGGAAAAGTCCACCACCTCATTCCCAGACAACTGGTTTTGGCTCACAGTATTTGTGCTTTTTGTGTCCACCTTGCTTTACGTTCCATTTCAGTGTTGACCTGTGTGGATGTCTATGCAGCTGTCTCTCCTCAGGGTTTGTATGTCCGTGATTCATGCTTTCTGGAGCACTTTGTGGGTTCAGGTTGTACACTTGAAGACAAGAGGGAAAGAACAGGCTCTGAGAGTAGAAATTTTGGTTCAGTACATGAAGATACCGGATATGAACTTCTGTACAAGGTTCAGATTTCTCCCACCTGAACACCTAGAGGCCCTAGGGAAATCAAGGGCAGGAGAGACTATTTCTAGGGTACCATGTCAACTCTGTGCAGTGCAGGAATGAACTTTGAGTCAGAAAATTTTGTGTTTGTCTCAGCCACATATGAGTGCGCAACTGGATTTAGCATGACCATGAGAGCACGTTTCCCACCTTCCTTGGTGGGGTTATGAGTGTCCGTGTAGGGTCACATTGTGATTTAGTGGCTCTCGGCAGTGCACGTCATTATGTAGAGAGGAAAAAACAACTGCAGCTTGAAAGCTTAGGTCTCCGTCCTGGGATGAGATGTTTTCTCCCCCTGCAGTGCAGATGCATGGGGTCCCTGTCTCCCCTGGACGATTAGCTTGAGGCTAAGTGGGTTCAGGTCAAGAAATAATGTGTTCACTTTCAAAGCTCCCTGGGGAAGGGAATTCAGAAGATGGCACTCATTTCCTGGGCTGGAGAGACCAATGTTGAATCATTTTGTTTGCTTTTTATTAACAAAATGAGAGTTTATTCCATTCCTTAGAAACGTGGTTCAGTAATGAAAAGTTCTCAGTCCCTGATCAAGTTCTCTTTTTATGAAGATAAAGGAGAAGGAAACAAGGTGAGGAAAGATAAGAGGGAAAAAGAATTTGTATATTGGCTTAGGGTGCCTTCTGAAACAAGGAATACTTAGGATACTTGGGAATTGGACATTAGAGGCAGAACGGAGGGTGGAGAGTGGTGGGGAACAGAAAGTGATTCACAGAAAACTGTCTGCACATTGGGAAGGACATATGCAGGTGACCTGGTGTTATGTTAGGGTCTGAGGGCCAGCATATAACACACTAGAGGAAACTCCTGGGTGCTTGTTGGACGGGCCCTTGGTCATTAAGGTCATTTGCTCTGAGGCAAATCCTGCAACTCTCTAGGCAACACTTTTTTGGGGGATTAGCCAATGGTACTGAAGGTGTGATTCCTGGACTGGCAGGTTCTACATCACTTGGGAACTTGTTAGAAATGAAACCTTTCAAGCCCTACCGACAGGTCTCCTGCATTTGAGCCTCTGGGGATGGGCGGGTTGCTCTGGCTGATTCTGACACAAATGCCACAATCTGGGCTCAGGACGTGGGAGCACCCTCCAGCTTGTGTCAAATGGGAAATCCTGAAGCTTACACTGAGTACCTTATCTTCCTAGAAGTTGGAAATCAGCTAAGTAGGTTTGTACTTTCAATAGAAACAATGCATATTGAATATTTTTTCAAGTTTTTATTTAAATTCCAGTTAGGTCACATATAGTATAATACTAGTTTCAGGTGTAGAATTTAGTGATTCATATTAAATATTTGTGTGCATTTAGGGATTGGCTATGAGTTCAGCCTTAATATGTAATTTTAAGTTGAACTCTCAGACCACTGTGACTGATCTTCAGAGCTGCTACAAAAACCACAGCATACTAATTCCTGCTATGAATGAGTTTTCTCCAATGGAACAACCTGTTACCACCCATTCTAGCAGCTATTTCTTCTCATGCAAGGACTAAAAGGGGGCATTTACACCATTTTTGGTTCATACTTGCATCAGAGCTATCATTCACTCATTTATATCTTTTAAAAGTACAATCTTCATTTTACCTGTTTCCAGAGAACACTTTTCCTTCAGTCCTTGAAGACTTGGCTCCTTATGTGGGCTTTGGTGGAAGTTTGGGGCAGCAGCCGTGGGTCTAAATCGGTCCTTCTGGAGGGCGGTGCCCGACTACCCTGCTGTGAATGGCAAGGCTCACACAGGAAAGGGTTCACACACAGCTTGGCACACCTAGACAGCCAAGACGCTTGCTTCGGAAATGTCCCTGATGGCGGTGGCTTCTGTGCTGAACAACGACCTTCTTAATGTGTCCCTGGGCACGCCGGGTGCAGCTGGTGCAGCGGGAGGCTGCACGCAGCCCTGGTCCTTTTGGGCACCACCGTTATTCCTCTTTTTCTTGGTCATCTTGGAAACGAGGACCCCAGAAGTGCCTCAGAGCTTTCAAAAAACATTTGATGGAGACATGAAAATAACTTAATGGCCTTCTTTTGGAAGACTTATCTCAGATTTAGCTAAACTGGATTTTTTAACGATCAGGACTTTTCAGGTACCTTTGCAACTTGCCATGAGCCCCACTCCCCATGTGTGATCACTTTGAATAATTCTGCAAGATGCTACATAAGGTCTGATTCGTGGACAGCCTCGTCACCCGCTGACAGGCGGGCTCCTCTCGACAGCACCATATGCCGTAGGGTGGGCAATATGGATTACTGGGTCAGGGAGACCTGCACCCTGCGCTGTGCATGCAGGTGCGTGCGTCTTGTACAAAGGCAAGCCCTGCATCTCCACCTCCTTCACCAGCAGCTCCATGTCCTTGGAATGTGCAGGGGACAGGCCAGCTATTGGAGTTTCCCCAACTGTAAACTTGAAAAGCCACTGAAAGGGTTAGGTTGATGAATGCCTGTAGAAAGCACATTTCTTCCAGGAATTATTGGTGCTCGCTGCTACCACCATAACATCCGTGACGACTGGGTGAGTAGATCATGATGCTATGTACTCTATGTTTAGTAATGTCAGAGTGAGAAAGCATGAATGACAATTCTGCAAACCTGGGTATATTTAGGAAGAGCTGTATAGTAAGTATTTAGAAAACCTTTTTCCAAAGGACTTAAAAAGAAGTTTCTAGACCTAAGACACATCCATCTCCCATCAAATACAACTATAATTTAGTTATTTGAAATGACCTACTACCTGTTTGAGTTTGAGCCCATTTTCTCATCTGTAAAATGGGGATAATGCTACTTGCCTCATGGAGCACGAGTGACGATTAAGTGAAAAAATATGGCACATGACAGGCACTTGGTAAATATTAGAGGCATTCCATTCTGAGTGGCAAGTTTCTGCTCATCGCTAACACTGCTAATCTCTCCAGTATTTAGAACACAAGTGAAAAATATTAAATGCAAAGAAAAAGTTTTTATTCTTTGATATATAAAACCAAGAAAACTTTAATGTGTAATACAACATAGTTTTTTTGTTTAAGGAGAAAATGGCAGAAGTAAAGATATGGGTACAAAAATACACTCAAGCAGCTGTTCCAAGAAATTCAGAATTCCTAAAATTATGAACAACAGCATACAAGTCTCAGAGGAGGCTTTTTTTCTTTTGACTAAAAAATTATTCACATTTACTTAACTTAAACATGGTAAGAAATATAACTTTCCTTCTTGGTAACAGATCCAGTTACTCAACAAGATATTCAATAACCAGCAATAACTTAGTAAAAGAACATTTCATTTGTGATAGTAACTAGCATTAGAGTTTTGGTTCTATAATACTTATTGTAGTAAAAAAAACAAAACAAAACACTTCTGACTGCTTGTGTGCCAGAAAAGATGCTCATATAGTTCACTGGAGCCCATAAATTTGGGTGTATTTGGACTCTCACCCCAGACCTCAAAGGGAGAGCACCTTTGGTCTTCCCTGTGCTTAGGAACAAAACCAACAGCGAGGCTGGCGTACAAATAACAAAATCAAACATAGGTGCAGGAGACCATAACTACTCAATAAAAACTATTTCTGCCCAATAAATAGTTTCCAAAAGAAAGAAAAATAATTGGCTTTTACACTTAATGAATTCAGGAAAAATGAAGATGTTGAGGTACTGTTTTCCATTTGTTAGCGGCCATAAATCAGGACAGTTTTGCCACTGACCAGCAGGGGGTGCTGGACCACGGGAGAAGCAGCTGTGTACTCTCCCAGGAAAGGCATCCTAGAAAAATATTTTTACCTGTATTTATACGAAAGCTTTATTTGGTCAAAGTTTAGTTCTCCAAGTATAAGTGTAATTTTCTCTTCGATATTGGATTCAAGCAAAATAGACTTCATATAAAACTGGATCAAACATGAATAAACTTTTAAAATTACTAAATATATAAATATTGCTGGAAGATCGAGGGGAAGTGACAATGAATTTATTCTGTGTTAAAAATCAAGTTCCAGGTGACTTGTTATTTAAAAACAAAGACAACAGAAACTATACATCCAAATGAATATGAGCTTTCAAAGGCCTGGCTGGAGGTGTGTGGTAGGCTTATCCATCCTTTCTGCTGATAATATTTCAAAAATTGCCCTCAGATTCAATCAGTCCACAGGAAAAGACAGAGTAAATATTGGCTTTTGGTCACAAAAGTATTGCTGAGCGTCCCCTTCCAATCCAGCAGAGCCGGCATTTGCCCTCTGACCGCCTGCCTGCGAGGCCCTGACTGATTCAGGCCAGCTCTTCTTCCCCGGGGATGTTTGGGAGTCCAACACCCCCCGGCTATCTGAAGTACAGCTATCAGCAATGTGGAAATTTGAAATTCATGGTCTACAGTCATACGTCTTGTAGGTTCGGGTGGCGTCCTGCCCATCAGCGGAGCGTGCAAGGCAGCGGAGCTCAGTAAGAACTGGCTGCGTCTGCACGAGTCACATTAAAAGCGCGGTGTACTGTCTTTAAAAAAGTACTTTTAAAGCTTCGCTTATAAAAGTATTCTCGAAACTGCAACATTTTCTGCACTTGGTCGCGGGAGTGCCGGGACGTGTGTCTGGCTGGGTACGGACTGCGGGCGTGTGCATTTTATGCTCCGTGGAGAAAGTCTCTAAAAATAGCATTTGTCTTTTCCATCCTAAGGTCGAGTCACGCGCGGGGTGTGGGCGATCAAAACAAAAGGGCGGAGTCTCCGTTCCCTCCTGACCTTCGGCCGGACTCCAGCCGACGAGCGCCGCGCAGGGCGCCCGGGGCTACAGCGTGACGGCCGGGCCGTGCTCCTCCACGGCGCCCGGCGGCAGCGGCAGGGCCAGGCTCTGGCGCGGGTCTGCGCGCAGGGAGCTGAGCAGCCGGTGCGCCGGGCCCGCGCCGTTGACCCGCGCCTGGCTGCCCGGCGGCGGCGGCGGCCTGGGCCCCGGCCGCGGCTCCAGGACGCCCTCGAGCACCACGTCGGGCTCGTCGTCGCTGTCGGCGTCGTCGGGCTGCAGGTGCAGCGGCGCGGGGGCGGCGGGCAGGCTGTGGCGGCTGGCCGCGCTGTCCGAGGAGCGGCCCGAGCTGCCCGAGGCGCGGCTACCGCGCACCACGTTGTTCCTCTGGTTGGCCGGCTTGACCGTGACGATGAGGTTGTGGCTGTTGGCGATCATCATGTCCGTGACCTGGTCCAGCGTCTTCCCGGCCACCTCGATGCCGTTCACCTCCAGGACCTCGTCGTCCACGGCCAGCAGCCCGGTGCTCTCGGCCAGACCGCCCGGCACCATGCGCGAGATGAAGATGCCGGGCACCTTCTCCAGCCCCTGCGGGGCGACGCGCACACTCGTGCCGTCACGGATGTAGAAGCCCAGGGGCTTCTGGCAGCCATGCCTGTACAGCCTCACGCGGCGGTGCGTCTCGGGCAGGATGTCCACGTCGATGATGGAGGACACGGGGCGGAAGTCGTGCGGCAGGCCGATGTGCAGGTGTGCGCGCCGGCGGGGGCCGTCCTCCCGCAGCGCCAGGGGCTTCCTCCGGCGGGACAGCGAGCCGGCCCCGAAGCTGCAGTGCTCCGCCTCCTCTGAAACGGCAGAGGGGACAGTCAGGACAGCAGGCGCAGGTGTGGGAAAGCGCCGAAGGCACCGCAGCGCGTGCGCGCTGGGGCAAAGCCCCTCTGCTGCCGACCGGTCCTCTGCTCCTCCGGTGGGCCCCGGGATCCTGCGAAACTCTGAGCAGTGCGCCCCACAATCGCATCACGTCTTTCAGCTAATTCCCTACGAGTCTCACGCACATGCCTAGGAGCTACCAGTTTGTTACATCACACCTCACTTTTGGGGGAAGTCTCCACCTCCAGGAGGATACGCTGGAGTAACTTTCTGAGTTGTTTCACTGAGTCCGCGAATAATGCTGGCATCCGTGGACCTGGCCCCAGTAGTTCAGTGCAATTGCCTCCCTAAAGTTAGCTCTCTGGAACTCTCCAGAACCACCCACAGGCCACTGACAAAATGACTGAAAGGTGGAGAGGCAGAAATAAGAAACTGCAATAAAGAGGATTAACAGCGATGGAAAGTTTAAAAGTGCCTGATTGGATCCTGGGAAGAGGGCAGAGCAGGGAGCACCAGGAATCTCTCCCCACCGGGCAACGACCGCACGGCAGAATCTGTCTGATGGGACTATCTGGGGACTGCAGAGTCGGCTGAAGGCTTGCAGCTGTCCAGGAGAAGTAGTCAGTTTGGGTCTCTTCTAGCTCCCAGCACAGAGCAGCTACCCAGCCGTGTGGCAGGCAGCCGTGCACGTGCTTCTGGGGCAGCCTGCAGACGCCAGGTGGGCAAGAAGCACCCCGTCCTCCAAAGAGCAGGGGTCTAAGCTCTGACCACCACCGGCTGCTTCTGATCACACAGGTGCAGACACAGAGCCTGGCGGCCGTTGCTGTCGGCCCTCCAGCTCCAGTGACTCCAAGGGCATTGGAAGGGCGAGGGCCCCCTTGTCCCCCTTTTGCTTCTCACTTTTCCCCTTTTGGGAGCCACACAGTAGGACATTCAAAAAGAGCTGCATACGTGGGAAATTAGGAAGGGACCGCGCGTGCCCAAGGAAAGGCTCAGAAAAGACCTGAGAAGACATTCAGTTTACACCTCAGGCACAGAGACAGCCCACAACCATCAGAAGAACGATGACAACCAAACAGCAAACCCTGGGGAAGGGGGAGAATCTGATTTCCAGAGTTACCACGTCATGAGATTCGAATGTCCGGTGGTCAGCCAAAAAAATCACAAGGCACAGAAGGAAACAGGGGAGTCTGGCCCATTGAAAGGAAAAAGAGAACTCAACAGAATCTGTCCCTAAAAAAGACCTGAGGTCAGATCTACTAGACAGACTTTAACACAAATGCCTTGAGACAGTGGGGTAAGATGGTGGAGTAGGAGGATCCCGAGCTCACCTCCTCCCAGGGACACACCAAGGCATCCACCACATAGAAAGCAACTCAATCTGAGAACAACCTGAGGCCAGCGGAACAGGTCTTCCACAGCCAAGGACAGAAAGAAAAAGCCACACCAAGAAGGGTAGGAGGGGCAAAGACTGAGTCAGGAAACACATTCCTGGCACACGACCCACAAGTGGGAGGGATATCACAGGGGCAGAGGTCCTCCCTGAGGACTGAGGTGATCAAGCCCCATGGGTATCCCCGGCACTAGGGACCTGCACCAGGAAGTAAGCCCCCGTAATGTCTAGCTCTGAAAATCAGCAAGGCTTAACCCTGGGAGCTTTAAAAACCAGTGGGGCCCAGTTCCAGGAGAGCAAGGGCTAGAGGAAATTGAGACTCTGCTCTTAAAGGGTTAGTGTACTGTATCGCTTGGCTCCAGAGGCAGCAGTTTGAAAAGTGCCTGAGATGTATTGACAAATTTTAGGGCATATGCTGGAGGGGCAGGGATCTGTAGGAGCTTTCTCTGGGAATGGAAGTGCTGATGGGCACTTCTGTTCTTGCCCTCCTTCCGCCTAGCTGGCCAGGCACCACTTCTGGCACTCTCCATCTAACCTGCTAGGACTGCTTCACCTGCCCTGGCAGGCACCCCTCCAGAGCAGCCCCCACCTGCCACACCCAGGGGGTAGCCCCCAACTGGGACTGACACCCCTCCAGAGGGACTCTTGCCCCAAGGAGGGGGGTCAGCTCCACCTACCAGCATGCTCCAGCAGGCATGGCCCAGTCATAACAAGAGGGGGCATGCAGGCCACACAGGGGACAACCTTGAAGCACATGGTTCTGATGACCAGAGGGGACTGTGGCCCCAAAGGACACCTTTTATGTGAGGCTACTAATTTCAAGACCAGAAGATATAGCTGGTGGACTTAATACATAGAAATAAACACAGAATCAGGCAAAACCTCAGAAAAAGACCTAAAGAAATGGAGAGAAACAATCTACCTGATAAAGAATACAAAGTAATGGTCATAAAGATACTTACCAGACTTGAAAGAAGAGTGGATGAACTCTGAGAACTTCAATAATGAGATAATTATAATGAAAATCACATCAGAGAAAATGAATAGCAGACTAGAGGATGCAGAATGGATCAGTGGTCTGGAAGACAGACATGGAAAGCACCCATGCTGAACAATAAAAAGAAAAAAGAACTGAAAGATGAGACTGGTTAAAGGACCTCCGGGACAACATTAAGTGTCTAATATTCACAGCATGGGGTCTTAGAGGGAGAGGAGATAGAGAAAGGGACAGAAAACCTATTTGAAGAAACAGCAACTGAAAACTTCCCTAATCTGAGGAAGGAAAGGGATCCAGGTCCAGGAAACACAGCCCCAAACAAGATGAACCCAAGGAGGTGCATACCAAGACATATAATAATCAAAATGGCAATGTTAAAGAGAGAATCTTAAAAGCAGTAAGAGAAAAACTACTAGCTACATACAAAGGGAACCCTATTAAGCTATCAGTTGATATTTCAGCAGAAACTCTGCAGGCTAGAAAGGAGTAACATGACATAGTCAAAGTGCTGAAAGGAAAAAAACTTACAGCAAGAATACTCTATCCAGCAAGGCTATCATTCAGAACTAAAGGAGAGAGAGAGTTTCCCAGACAAGCGAAAATCAAGAGTTCATAACCACTAAGCTGGTCTTATAAGAAATGTTAAGGGGACTTTAAGCAGAAAAGAGAAGGCCATAACTAGAAATACAAAAATTATGAAAGGGAAAAATTTCACAGATAAAAGCAAACATATAGTAAAGGTAGTAGATCAATCACTTACAAAACTAGTGTGAATATTAAAAGACAACGGTAGTAAAATCAATTATATCTATAAAAATTAAGGGATACACAAAAAAGTAAAATATGTCATAAATTGTAGAGAAGTAAAGTATGCATTCAGAGCGTATTTGAACTTAAGCAACCATCAACTTAATATAGATGTTGTATATATGTTTTATATGAATCTCATGATAACCAAACCAAAAACCTATAAATAGATATGCAAAAAAATAGAAAGGAATCCAAGCATAACACTAAAGAAAGTCATCAAATCACAAGGGAAGAGAGCAAGAGAAGAAGAGAGGAACAGAGAACTACAAAAACCAGAAAACAATAAACAAAATGGCAATAAGTACATAACCTATTGATAATTAAATGCTCCAATCAAAAGACATGGGGTGAAAGGATAAATAAACAAGATCCATCTATATGCTGCCTATAGAGACTCACTTCAGATCTAAAGACACACACAGATCAAAAATGAAGGGATGGAAAAAGATATCCCATGCCAATGGAAGCAAAAAAAGCGATCTGGGATAGCCATACTTATATTAGACAGACTAGACTTTTATTTATTTTTAATTTTTTTTATTTTTTAAGGATTTTATTTATTTATTCGAGAGAGAGAGAGAGAGGCAGAGGGAGGAGCAGACTCCCAAGGAGCAGGGAGCCCGATGCAGGACTCGATCCCAGGACCCTGAGATCATGACCTGAGCCGAAGGCAGACGCTTAACCATCCCAGCCACCCAGGAGCCCCAGACTAGACTTTTAAAACAAAGACTGTAACAAGACAAAGAAGGGCATTATATAATGATAAAAGGATCAATCCAAAAAGAGGATATAACAATCATAAATATGCATGCAACCTGAAACAACTAAATACATAAAGCAAATGTTAACATACCTTAAAGGGGGAAACTGATAGTAATATAATAATAGTAGGGGACTTTAGCACTCCACTTGCATCAATGGATAGATCTTCCAGACAGTAAATCAATAAGGAAACGGTGGCTGTGAATGACACATTAGACCAGATGGACCTATTAGATGTATGCAGAACATTCCATCCCAAAACAGCAGCATACACATTCTTATCAACCACACATGGTTCATTCTCCAGGATAGGTCACAGTAGGTCACAAAACAAGTCTCAATAAATTTAAGAAGATTGAAATCATATCAAGCATCTTTTCTGACCACAATGGTATTACTAGAAATCAAATGCAAGAAAATCTGGAACAAACCACAAACACGTAAAGGCTACGCAACATGCTACAAACAAAGGGTCAACAAAGAAATCAAAGAGGAAAGAAAAAAAGTTCTTGGAGACAAATGAAAATGGAAACACAGTAGTTCAAATTCTTTAGGATGCAGCAAAAGCAGTTCTACGAGGGAAGTTTACAGATATGGGCCTACCTCAAGAAACAAGAAAAGTCTCAAACAGTCTAAACCTACACCTAAAAAAGACTATAAAAAAACAAAGCCCAAAATTAGTACAAGGAAGGAAGTAATAAAGATAGGAGTGAAAATAAATGAAGTAGAGACCAAAAAGACAATAGAAAAGATCAATGAAACTAAGAGCTGGTTCTTTGATAAGATAAACAAAATTGACAAACCTTTAGCCAGACTCATCAAGAAAAAAAGAGAGACTCAAGTAAATAAAATCAGAAATGAGAGAATTTAAAACTGACATCACAGAAATCCAAAAGATTATAAGAGATTGCTATGAAAAGTTATATACCAACAAATTGGACAACTAGAAGAATGGATAAATTCCTAGAAACATATAATCTTCTAAGACTGAATCAGGAAGAAATAGAAAATCT